TGCTTTTAAATGCTGGACAAAGAAAAACCTGCAGGTTGGTTTCGTGTGAGTTTTGGGTTTTTTGTTTTGTTTGGTTGGGGTTTTTTTTGCAAGCAATAAGCCTTGAACCCCTGGGGAGGTTCTCTGCAGTTCTGTGCTGTATGTGCAGTGAAAGTTAGGAACTGCTGGGTAATGTTAAAATGCCAKTGGACACAGGCAGAAACTACAGGCCACATCTACACACTCAGCACCTAGCTCGAATCAGGTACATTGGTCAGCTGGATTAACTGTATTTTAGAGGAAGGCTCACACATTCTATTGAATAAAAKTCATAAAAGAATTCAAACAAAGTTTCAGAGTAGTTCTGTAGATTCTGCAGTAGTGATGAAGGCGCATAATTTTAAATGAACTTCATCAACATACTCACTGTGGAGCTAGACCTGACCMTGCCACACTACCCCAACTGAAAAAAACGCCCTTCTCTCACCCATGGAAATGAGGTGAGGTGGCATAATCAACTTCTATCCTAGCCAAGCTCCCCCTGGCTACTKCAAAAATTACCCTGTCCTGGCCACAACCAGGACAGAAATGCATGGGAAGACCCCCACCATCCCAACACTCAACACCACCTCGCTTTACTTTTCATAATTGGCCTTTTATATGCAAGYTGTCAGACCAGTAGATAGTAATTCTTTCTTGTTTTTACTAGTGATTCTATAGCTCATGTAAGTTTATTACGTCATCATTAGTTTTGGGTTGGATTTTGTATTTTCAGCATAGTCTACAGTAAAAAGCTCAGGAAAACTGTATGTATYATACTGCCTAATGTTTGTTCCATCTGCTCTTGTTTGATTGCTTTCACTATTACTTTACTTCAGTGTTAGAGCAACAGAAGCACAGCTATGTAGTACAGAGAAATAAAGGATTTGAAATCTGYTTTTTGGAATGGAATATGTGGTGTTAGTTTGTTTAAGCTTTTGGAGCACAGATACAACATAAATAAGATAATTTGATTCATTTAGTGATTCAGAACTCATAAGTAACAGCTGATACTAACAATAACACACAACTCTTATGCTTTCATGGGATATGTGAAACTATCAATTTGCAAAGCACCAGAGTTTAAACTTAGGTTGCTTTCTCATATTGAAAGGACTATCATTATTTGAATGGTAAAGTAATTAATAMTTGAGAAAAACATACGTTAAGGGCTTAAAAATGTTCAAGAAATAATGCTGATTTGGATTGGTAGTGGTACCTTCTATAGCGCAGCTTTTGATGTCTGATGTTGCAGTTTTGATTTCTATAGGAAACYGCTAAGTGTATTGCAGTAGTCAGTGAAGCACTATCAATTATAATTTGAGTTTTTAGCCTTCATACAAAACTCTCTGAACCACTGATATTTCTCCTAAAATCAGGGACAGATGTACTTACTGTGCCATGATGTAATGAAATAATCTCTTCTGCTTGTGTTTGTAGGACTGCTTCATGATGGATTTGACTCTGTTGGATGAAACTGGRAAGCCCTTCTGGTGTTTTAGTGCTCCAGTCCACATGGAATTGTCTTCCAAGGCATCTGGCCTTTTTGACTACATGGGTCATATCTATACTGCAGACTATGCAGATTCAGAGGGCAAAGTCTGTGTTGAGTTTGTAAGGTTGGAAGAAACCAAGGAATATATCATAGTCAGTTTGGTGMTTTATGTAAGCACCATAAAGGTAAATAGCTGGTATGGAACAAATTACTGATTTCATTAGTTGCTRATTTCCTTGCTGCAAAAACCAAACCAAACAAACTCTCCCCTCCCCCCCRCAAAAAAAACAAAACAAACCCACAATAAACCTCTGATGCTTCAAGGAAGACTGTTCCTGCAAGTTTTTTGGTCGCAAGTGTAGTTGTATAATTTTTTTTAATGGACAATTGAGGGATCAGAGAGATGTATTGATATAAATTAGGGTTTTTCTTTGTTGAATATCCCATGGTTAGTCTGTTTCTGATACTGGGTATAGAGAAATTATTTTTAGGAAGATTTTTTTCTTATAGACACTTGTTACTATGGTTAAGGAATTGCTGCTTTGGAGGACCATACTGTGAAGATGCCTTACCTTACATAAGCTGCACTGTTTTTGAGAACATTTACTTTTATGCCTAGTAATAAAACAGCATGTATTCTGTTCCTTCCGGGTTTGTTGGTAAATGACAGGTTTTATTAAATGATTTTTGTTAAGTACTTTATCTTTCTTCACTTTTTCCAGAAAATACTTCACTTGTATATATTTTAATAAAGGATTGAAAAGGTAGATGTGAAGTCAGATCTGAAAAATGTCTGTYGAGGTATTTGTTAAGAAAGTCATGTGTAATATCTGTTTATGACACTTCTTTAAATTCCTGTTTGTTCTGTTTTCCCGTGTTCTAACCTTCTGTCTGATTTGAGCCTCGATATTTGCCTCATGTATTGGCCTRTGAATAAGTGTCCCAATTATCAGCCAACCCGAGCTGATGTCTGATCTTACTGAATGTATGTAACATTCAGTTTTTTCAGAAACAATGCATATCTGATACTGTTTATCTAACAATACATATTCATATAAAAATTGAATGTATGTGCCTGATCTTTGCAGTTCCTTGGAGTAATGTCAGAACCAAATTTTCTACTTCCTGTATTAAAAAAAAAAAAGAAAAAGTGCCATTGGGACTCTGGTGTCTTTACATAGCGAGGACAGTTACATTGTTGACTGCTTTGACTTCATTATGGTAGTGTTTTCCTTAATAAAAAGAAATTMTCTCTTCTGTATTTCTTTACATACATTAATTGGTTTGTGCAAACAAAGTTYRTATGTAAGYACTTGTCTTCTATGCTACAGAGGTAGTAGKAGYTAGGTACTACAGCCAGASARTTGTTTCTTTATGTWGCTTTCAAAGACAGYAAGTTGAGRCTTATGCAGTTCTAGTTTGCCWTGTTAACCTTGCCTAAAGAAGCAGCAGAAAYGTTGCTGCATTTGGTTGTTAGCCAAACAAGAATGATCAGCTGCAATTTGTCTCCTTTCTTACTGACTGCTGATGGGGACGGGGATCCCTTGAAGCCATATTTGTATAAATGTTTTTAACAAGTAGACTGGGTGTGATGAATTCCAGAATGACAGACACGGAAATTCATCTGCACAGRCAAGTGGCCAGTCTACATTTTTGTTTTTGCCTGAATTTAGTCTTTGAGATATCACCTTTAGCAAGGAAATGGTAACTCAGTCCCAAAGTCTTCTGAGTCACTGGCCTCACTGCTAAGCCTGTAAACAAAAATACAGAATTGTTCTGGCTGTGCTTTTCCTTTGAGATGTGCAAGTATGTTCCCTGCTCTGCTTTGAAGCTACCAAAGTCAATGGACCCCCAAAGCAGCCRTTAAATGGTAAAAGGTCAGTCATTGCTCATTCTATCTGAATTTTTATTGTATTTTCAGTGTTTAAAAAACCGTGGGTGTACGGTTTTCTTTTTAGTAAAAGTAGTGTACTTCCTTTAATAAACTATTGCATTTTCTAAAGCATTTGATTTTTTTTTTTACAATTGAATGTTTTATAGAAAATTCTGGTGTTACTCTTGGAAATGAAACAAGCGAGTATGCTGTCCATACCCCTGACAGGCTAATCTAGTAGCCTGAAAGTTTACTAACTGAATTGATTAGGGTGAGAGTAAATCTTTAGCAACACTGTCAACCTAAAATGTGATACAAGGGAGAGTCATTTCCTCAGGTTATTGCTAACTCACTTGTGCTGTTCATAAGCAACATGTGCATTTAGCAAACCCAAGCAAACTGTTTCAAGATCTTAAAAAATAGACCCAACTGTTGCAAAGCTATTCTCATGCATCTTCACTGACCATAATTGTGTCCTTTYTGAAGATAGAAAGGGTTAGTCCTGAAATAAGCTTTACGTGGACCTAAATTTGATTTAGTGTTTATGCCACTCATTTGATTTCAGCTGACAGTTGCTTTTAAGTTGCACAACAGAAGCAAATTCAGTAGCTACCACCTGTATCAACAAACCTGATAAGTTACATATGCCTTAACTCAAGCTTCCATTTCTTCAAAKTGCATCTTCCTTTCTTTGTATGTGTAAGGATCTACACCTTACCTCCRCAAAGAAAAGGGTGTGCATCAGGTAAACTACGCTGGCCCATGCCATGAAAGAAAGCATCTCTTCCAAAAACTGATGCTTTGATAAAATCTTCATCTAGTCTTCTAAGTCCCCTTTCATATTCCTGATGCAAAAGGTGGTAGGGTRCATTGCATGTACCACTCCGCAGGGAAGCTAATGGCAGCTATATTTTCTGAGGTCTTTGTAGCATAGGTGGGTAATGACAGTATTTTTCTTTGAACAGGCCTTTCAGTCATTTTTTCTACCCTTTTTTTTTCAATTGCCTTTGTAATTCATTTCAGTTCCAATGTGCTTTATGGTGTATGTGATTTAATATGGAAAATAGCTATATGGTGGAGAATCTCATTGACTCTTCCCACCCTGCGTGGCTGTTCTTTCTATTGAGCAGGCGTGTTTTGATTTGCATTCATCCATTAGATGTTTAGGTATGGTTGTTGAACCTGGTCTCATTGTCATGTACTTGGTTTTTGAGATGAGGACTGTCTTTCTTTTTTTTCTTCTTTTCTTTTTAGTCAGATATATGGCCATCTGATGCTASGGATTGAGTGCTTAGCAGAAATATATGTAGAGTATAATAAAGATACCGTCAGGTGAAATGGATTAATACTGCGTCAGATTAAGAATTGATTAAGTGATTAAGTTTTATCTCTTAGGTATATTTGAATAATTTACTGTCTGGCAAGTTATGTAGTAGCTAACCTTTCATTTACCAGACAGTTCAACATATTCAAACAATTAGAAGGAGATTTAGCTAAAAGCATTGGCTCTGCTGCCTTTGTGACATATTACTACAGCTCAGCTGATCTGCTGTGTCTAACTTAACTGAATCTGAGCTCTAACATAACTGCATTAGAAACTGCGCAGATGAAACACTGTTTCAAGAAGTTAAAATGAGAACAAGCGATGGGCTTTAATCTCTGCTTGTGCGTAGAGAGTTGGGAGTACATTTATATGAAGAGTTAAATCCTATCCTTGTTTCCTGTCTATTGTGTCCATCATAAATCAGAGGGGACAATGGTGGCAACAAGGATAACTAGGGAGTTGAGTGTGGTGAGGAATGTATCATACTGAATGGCAAAGCACTGCTTATTCTGTTCTTTCTTGAACTCTTAAGGGTTTAAAATTTTTTTCTCATGCTGTGTATTAAAAGGTTAGTGAAAAAGGCGTAATGATACCTTATATTAATGCTGCTTTAGTTGTAGAAGGGTTTATAATGAAGTTGAAAACTGTAAGGCTTTTAAATGTACTGAAGAAAACTAAAATGGGATTTTTTCTTTCTGTGTTTAAGTTATTTATCTCCTTTTGAAGAGAAATGAATCTTTTGAAGGGAAATGTGCTTATGAGTCAGACACTGATCATCTCTTGGTAGGTAGAATTACTTTTGTTCTGCATACAGGCTGCTTAGACTRGGTGTTAACAATTATTTCCCTCCTGAATCATCCATAAAGTTAAATTCAGCTGTCTTGGTGAAATCTTACCCAAAAAAATGTAAGGTACAAAAAAATGTGTAATAATTCTGTTATATCCTGTTTATTCACTGAAATACTATAAATCAGTTTAATCTGCTGGCATTGGAAAATATTTAACCATTAAATAAAAAATACTACCACCAAACCCCTCAAGCTAATGGAAATGCTTAGCATATCAGAGCTCAGGATCATYGCTATCTCTTCTGTACCAAAGAAACAATATATTTACAAATAGGGTTAGAAAAGCCTCTTGATGTTTAGAAAAAACTGAAAATAAAGATTACAGGTTAAAAAAATTCCAGACAAAACCCGAAAACCTTAGAAAGTATACTGAAACTGTCCACATTTGGAAAAACCTGGAAATAATAAATAAAGTTAGTTGTTCTCAATTGTGATTATCAGTGGTTCTTTGTTCATTGTTATCTCATTTATTTTTAACACCTTGATTTACAACTTTGCCTTTTCTGATAGAAATGTRCAAAGAGAGGTACCTGTGTGTACCTAGTGAAAACGTTTAACAAAAGCCTTGAAAGAGTGGTAAAGTACTSTGGAACTAAGTAATTTTATTCAGGTTTGCTACCTGTATGAAATGGTAAGCAATAGAATATTTTTGAGAAAAAAAAACCTCATCACAGTAACTAWACCACGTGTCCACCATGTTTTGTTCTAATGACATGTGTGTATTAGGATCTTAAAATTTCAGTTTTAATTCTATTGTAGTCTAATGGAGTACTTGTGTGTTAGGAAAGTCAGAACTTTGTAAGACTGGTGTTCTGCCATCCTGAAAAGACATTTAATGRACAAGTAATGGTATAATATGATTGCATAGTAATTTTTTAATTTCAAGTTTTGCACCTGCTTTCACATATTGTAGGACATATGGTAAAGACTGAATTGGAAATACGCTGTCTTTAGGAAGCAGTAGAAGTAATTGACACTGCACTCTTTTTTATAAACTCAACATTGCATTTTTGCAACTTATAAAGTATGAACAGAAGGCCGGTTTTTTGGCCTTCAGTTTTCACTGGTTTTTGTAATTGTAGGAATTTGTGGAGCCCAAGGATTCTTGTGTATTTTATCAGTATTTCTGGAGGTTCATAAGGCGGGGATTGGAACTCCAGTTTCATGCAGCTGGAGACTTCTATCTTGGTTTAGGGTGCTCTTTTGGATTGAAGTGGTAGTTAACCTGTTTGTWGTTGAACAGTGTATGAAAAAGTTTGCATTGTTTTATGCAGATTTGTTCTGTTAAGGGCCAGCCTGCCGTGGATTCTTTCTAAAAAACATGAATTCAGAATGTATCCATTACTGGTAAGTACATTGCCTCATTCTCATTAGCCAGCAARCAGAACTGGAAAAAAACTGCAACACAGTTTATCACTTTCAAGAGACAGAGGGTTTTTTCCTGGCATCTCCCCACACTCACTGTTTGCAAGTACAGAGTAATTGCTGATGAACATGGGGCTTTCCATTTCAGCTACACGGTGCACTTCTATGTGGAATTTTAATTTACTGTCACAGAGCACTCTTYTATTTCTTGTGCTGTGCCTTGGTCCCTCATTTTGCACCTGCAGTAATTTTGTGCAAATTGTGTACTGTAATACTGCAGTGCAAAGTGGAAAATGTCTGCAAATTTTGAAACCCAAAGAGAATCCYATCTGCAAGTCAGACTCCACATCTATATTTGTGTTACATGGGACATTTATTCCAGGATTTATTAAAACTGGAGTTTTGGTTGGAACATTAGCTCAGCTCTCTATGTTTATTCCTACTAATTCAGCAGTAAGGATTTCCAGTGCAGTTGTCCTTTATAATCTCGGATCTCTGTGAGAGCTCAAATAAATTGTCTTACAGTAAAACTGGACAGAATTACATTCAATRAGAAGAAGCAGCTTTGATTTTTTGATTTGTGTTGATAGTTTCTTCTTGACTATGGAAAATTCTTTTTAAGCAAATGGCTTGTTTCCAACTAATACTTGGGTAGTCACATAAAACCAGTCTAGATTCTTGCTTTTTTTTTTTTTTTTTTTTTTTTTTTTTTTTTTTTTTTTTTTTTTTTTTTTTT